TATGAAAAAACATGCTCTTCTCTTCGTCCTCATTTCTTTCATTTGAGACCTTCTCTCGGGCCTTACACAGGTAGCATCTCCTATTCAGGCCCAGGGCCCCTCTCTGTAAGAAGGAGATTCCTCCCCATTCCTCTTCTCTCTGCATATTGATGCATTCCCCTAGTCCTACTCAGGTGGCATCCCCTGTCCAGGTCTAGCGACCCTCACTGAGTAGGAGTTTCCTCCTTCTGTCCCTCATGATGAGGCATTCCCCTACTTATGTTCAGGTCGTATCCCCTGTCCAAGTCTAGGGCCCCTCATTGAGTAGGAGTTTATGCCTCCATCAAAAAATTTTACAGAGGTCCGATGTTAGTCTGTGGAAGTCTGGCAACAGACGAAAATTCGAAGTCAGGAAGAAATCCGATGACGGGTGGAAATTTGGCATCGAGTAGAAGCCCGATAAAATTCCAGCGACGGGCAGAAGTCCGACATTGGATATAAATTCACCGTCAGGTAGAAGTACGATGTTGGGTAGAATTCTGATGAAGGTCTGTCAACAAGCAGGAGTCCGACGAAAGTCCGTCGACAGGCAGAAGTCTGACATTGGGTGGAATTTTGGCGTTAGATAAAACTCAAATGAAAGTCTTATGATGGGTAGAAGTTCAGTGTTGGGTCGGAGTCCGACAAAAGTCCAATGATATACATAATTTTCATGTCTAGTAGAAGTTTGACGATAGGTAGCTAGAAGTTTGATGTCGAGTTGGAGTCTGACAGAAGTCCAATAATGGGTGGAAATTTAGCAAATGGTAGAAGCTCTTTGAAAGTCTAGCGATGGGCTGAAGTTTGACGATGGGTAAAAATTTTGAGTCGGGTAGGAGTCCAATGAATGTCGGACGACATTCTAGCGACGTTAACTTATATGAAAGAGGTTTAGAGGATCCACCAAGGATGTATGACCTATCCGAGATTACATGTCATAACTTTTGCTCGATGACATTAACTTATATGGAGAAGAATGATGTACTATTGTTGATTGAATATGTCGCCGCGAGGAAACTCCACAAATAGGAAGCTAGAATATCTAAGAGCTGATGTTGGCTGATTGTAGAGATTTCTTAGTACAACTACGAGCATAATTGAAGTCTTCCTCACGGATCAGGATGCTAGGTGTGAATATTTCTCTTGCACATGGATGAGGATGGAAGTTGTAATAACTACTGCTACAGAAAAAAAACAACCTAACCAAATTATGGTATGAGTTCCATGTAGGCATTTGTATAAGTTAAATGCTTGTGAGATTTCAAGTTATTAAGTGTTTCCTTAAGTCTATAGAATCCGAGATTATGTAATACAAAAAGTAGAAAATTTAATTGCAGAAAGTTCCTTAGGATCGCAATCGTGATGTTGCACTGCCCTCTCTATTAGAGGAAGTTTGATTGAGGGAGCACAATGACACCGTGAGTGGTGACACTGTGTTGCTTCCCTCACTATATTTGGGTGATACTTTGGGAAGCGTGATAACAACATCGTGCTTTTTGAGCTCTTTGTCTAGGGGCATCTTAAATATTCGATGGAGCGCTCTAATGCCAGGAAGAGGAGCATCATAATTGTTGGATAATAAGAGGCTATAAGAAGAGGAAGAATTTTAGAAGATAAGAGGAACACTTATAAAACTCACTTTTATTTCTCTTGAACTCTTGATTCTACTTCTTACATGAACACAAAGACTCTACACCTATTTATACTAGTGACTACCCCCTTAGGATTGTGCCAACACATTTCAATCCAAGGGCTAATATTGACTTTCTAGAATATTCTCCTATCTTCTTTTACAAAAGTCATTAATTGCATATTCTAAAATACTCTAAACAACTCTTTTTAGAATATATCTCTAGAATCCTCTAAAACATTCATCATAAAGTAGGATTCTAGAGTTTTCTGAAGACTTTTCTAGACTATGGTCTCAGTTAGAAATCCCACACAATTAAAGGCCCAATTAATCAAGTTTAATTTTCAACACCCCCTCTTAAACTTGATTTGTTATCCCGAGCAATCTTCTTATCCTTGTAAAATCTTCATGCTTGAGTGGCTTGGTGAATATATCAGCTACTTGATCATAAGTCTTCACATACTCTATTTGCACATCCTTTCTTGAGATGCAGTCTCTGATGAAGTGATAGCGTGTGTCGATATGTTTACTTCGATTATGAAAAACAGGATTCTTGGCCAAGGCAATAGCTGACTTGTTATCGACACAAATCTTTGTTGGCTCTTCTTGTGGCAGTCTTAGCTCCTTCAATAAATTTCGAAGCCAAATTGCATGACAAACACATGAAGTTGCAGCAATATACTAAGCTTCACAAGTAGAAAGGGACACGATTGGTTGCTTCTTTGACATCCAAGTGAAAATAGTGTCTCCAATGTAGAACACGAAACCCGTAGTGCTTTTTCGCTCATCTAAGTCTCCGGCCCAGTCGCTATCACTATATCCGACAAGCTTGAAATCATTTGATGATGAATAGAATAGGCCAAAGTCAATCGTACCTTTGATATATCGAAGAATCCTCTTCGCAGCCTTTAAGTGAGTAGTTGTTGGTACCTCCATATAACGACTAACTATTCCAACAGCATAAAGGATGTCCGGCCTAGTGCAAGTCAAGTAGCGCAAGCTACCCACCAAGCTCTTGAAAAATGTTGGATTAACAATTTCAGGATTAACAATTTCATTATTCTCCTTTTTTGATAACTTGCCTCCGCATTCCATCGGAGTGCTTATGGGCTTGTAATCATTCATATTGAATTTCTTGAGTATTTCTTTTCCATAGCTTTCTTGAGAGATAAAGATACCTTCATCCTTTTGCTTAACTTCAATACCGAGGTAGTATGCCATTTTTTCAATATCCGTCATCTCGAACTCTTTAGCCATTACTTTCTTGAATTCTTTAAACATACTTGGATTACTTCCAGTGAAGATCAAATCATCCACATATAAGCACACTATCAAAATATCCCCATCCTTGACTTTGATGTAGAGGGCATGCTCGTAAGGACATTTACTGAAGTCGTTCTCAAGGAAATACTTGTCGATGCGGTTGTTCCATGCCCTATGAGCTTGTTTTAACCCATAGAGAGCCTTCTTTAGCTTCAAAACCTTGTCTTCTTTCCCTTTGAATTTATAGCCCGGTGGTTGTTGAATGTAGACTTCCTCTTCAAGGACTCCATTTAAAAAGGCGGACTTAACATCCATTTGATGTATTTTCCATCTATTTTTAGCCGCCAAAGAAATGATTTGTCTTATAGTTTCAAGTCGAGCAACAGGAGCAAATACCTCATCATAGTCGATGCCAGGTATTTGGCTGTAACCTTTTGCCACTAATCTTGCTTTATATTTCTCGACTTCTCCTTTGACATTCTTCTTTTCTTTGTATACCCACTTTACACCAATCGCCTTGTGTCCTATTGGAAGTGTAGCTATCTCCCATGTATTGTTCTTCTCGATTGCCTTGATTTCTTCATCCATTGCATCCTTCCAATTCTTAATTTGCATGGCTTCTTGAAAATTTACAGGTTCACAATCCGTAAAGAGGCAAAAGAGAGTGAGATTGTCTTGATTCTCAGTCACCTCATAGATTTCCTGTAAGCTTCTAAAATGTGGTGCTTTTTTGTTTGAGCCTTCACTTGAAGATGATGGGTCCTCTTGAGTACTTGCAATTGGTGTGGTTGGTGGTGTTATGGGCTCATCTCTTTCTTGATTTATCCTTGGCTGCTCAACTTCTTCATCCTTAAAGAAGTTGTAGTGATCTTCATGGGGGTCCCAAAGCCATTCTCCTTCTTCATTGAAGATGCATCACGACTGATGATTGTCTTCATAGTGTTTGGACTGTATAACTTATAGCCTTTTGAGTTGGAGTCATAACCGATGAAAATATACTTCTCACTCTTATCATCTAGCTTACTTCGTTGCTCATCAGGTACGTGCACACGTGCTATGCTTCCAAACACTCTTAGATGAGAGATACCGAGCTTCCTTCCACTCCATGCTTCCTGTGGTGTCATTCCCCACACACTTCTTGTTGGAGATCGATTGGATAAGTAAACCGCGTATGCAACAGCTTCAGCCCAAAATTCCTTAGGTAGTCTCTTACTCTTGAGCATACTTCGAGCTATATCAAGGATAGTTTAATTCTTTCTCTCTGCTACACCATTTTGTTGAGGAGATCTTGGGACGATCAACGGTCGACGTATTCCATTAGCTTCACAAAATTCTTGAAATTCCTTTGAAGTAAACTCTCCTCCTCGATCAGATAGCATAGCTTTGATCTCGAGGCCGCTTTCTTTCTCCACCAAGGCTTTAAATTTTTTGAATACTTCAAATACCTCTGATTTTTTCTTTAAAAAATATACCCATGATTTTCTTGAAAAATCATCTATGAAGAGAAGGAAATAATTACTCTTACTGAGAGAGCTTGGCTTAATTGGACCGCATACATCTGTATGTATGAGTTCAAGTGGCTTTTGTGCTCTTGAATTTGACTCCTTTGGAAAGCTCTTCCTGAATTGCTTCCCAAGCAAGCAGCCTTCACATAGCTGATCTTGGTGTTTGATGCAGGGCAGACCTCTTACCATTTTCTTCTTTGATAATAGCTCCAATCCTCCAAAATTAAGATTCCCAAATCGAAGATGCCAAAGCCAAGATGGGTCTTTGTAGCAAGCTTTGAGACACTTGGCAATATCATTTTGAATGTTGAGCAAGAACATTCTGTTTCTTTACATCGGTATATTTGCAATTAGGTTGCTCATATTGTCTCCTATAGAAAGGTTTTTATCTTTCAAATGAATATCATAACCTTTCTCTAAGAGTTGACCCAAACTCAAGATATTACTCTTCATGTTTGGCACATAAAAGACGTTGGAAATGAATTGGTTCTTTCCATTCTTTAATCGGATAAGAATATTACCTTTGCCCTTCACAGCAACCTTGGATTCATCTCCAAAGGATACATTTGCCGTTCACTGACTCGTCAAGTCCACGAACATGCCTTTTTTCCACACATATGGTTGCTTGCACCGGTGTCTAGATACCATGTGTTATCTCCACCTTTTTCATTCTCCTTATATGCCAATAGCAAAGTGCCATCTTGTTGACTTCTCTCTTCCACATAATTAGCCTTCTCTTCAACTTTATTGTTATTAGGAGTTCTACATTCTGCAGCATAATGACCAAATTTTTGACAGTTGTAGCACATCACTTGAGATTTATCATACCTTGGTCTTGGCTTTCCTCTTCCACGACCTCTTGTCGAACTTCCTCCTTGTCCAAAATTTGTATTATCATTCTTGCCATTATTAGAGCTCCAACCTCGTCTGCGCCCATGACCACGACTTTGTCCACGACCACGACCTCTTCCTTGTTGGTTTCTACCATACTCGAGGCCCTCTTCTTTAGCTGAATTAATTTGTGTCTTAAGGAGTTGTTCCGTGATAACTTGCTTCTTCTTTTTCTTTTCTTCATAGGCTTGTAAGGATCCCAAGAGTTGCTCGATTGTCATAGCCTCTAAGTCTTTAGTTTCTTCAATAATGACGACAATATGATCGAACATTGAATCTAGAGAACGAAGGATTTTCTCCATAATCCTTACATCTTCTAGCTTCTCACCATTTCTTTTTAATTGATTAGAAACGGCTAAGACTATAGTAAAGTAGTCGGAAACAACTTCCACTTCTTTCATATGTAAGGCTTCGAACTCACCTCTTAATGTTTTGAGACACACCTTCTTGACTTGCTCCGCTCCTTTGTAAGAGGTCTGAAGTTTCTCCCATGCTTCTTTGGCAGACTTCACATCGGAAAGCTTCTCAAAAGAGTCATCATCTAATCCTTGAAAGATTAGATAGAGAGCCTTCTTGTCTCTCTTCCTTGAATCTCTTAGACTATCCTTTTGAGCTTGGGATAAACTTGACTCATCTTGTGGCTCCTTGTAGCCTTTCTCTATCATCTCCCATACATCTTGCGCTCCAAGAAGGGCCTTCATTTTGATGCTCCAATTGTCATAGTTGCTATTGTTGAGCGTTGGGACTTGGAAAGGGATCATACCATTGCTCGCCATCTCCTTAGGAAGAAACTTTGGCTCTGATACCACTTTGTTGGATAATAGGAGGCTATAAGAAGAGGAAGAATTTTAGAAGAGAAGAGGAACACTTATAAAACTCACTTTTATTTCTCTTGAACTCTTGATTCTACTTCTTACATAAACACAAAGACTCTACACCTATTTATACTAGTGACTACCCCCTTAGGATTGTGCCAACACATTTCAATCCAAGGGCTAATATTGACTTTCTAGAATATTCTCCTATCTTCTTTTACAAAAGTCATTAATTGCATATTCTAGAATACTCTAAACAACTCTTTTTAGAATATATCTCTAGAATCCTCTAAAACATTCATCATAAAGTAGGATTCTAGAGTTTTCTAAAGACTTTTCTAGACTATGGGCTCAATTAGAAAGCCCACACAATTAAAGGCCCAATTAATCAAGTTTAATTTTCAACAATAACACCATCAGAAATGTGATTTTTATATATAAAATATTTAAAATCATTTTATAATGTTCCCTCACCTCACTCTCCACTGGAGAAGGGGAAGAGAAAGAAGAGGAGAAGAGGAGAAGAGGAGAAGAAAAAATAGAGGATTTAGGAGGTTGTGAAACCAGATTCGTCTCTCAGTTCAGTTAAGGAATTGTCGAGCATGAGGTGGGGTCCCAATACACTATTTTGTTTTTTCAATTTCAAAACTCGCACCACTAAAAATAAATAAAATGTGATTTTCTTAAGTTTAACAAACTTTTCACAATGTAATCTCTGGTGTATTGTAGAATACTCTATTTTAAGTATTTTGATTATAAGAAAGTGAAATTTTATTAGTTGGTTTGATTGAACAAGATATTAAATACTTATTGATATATGTGACATTTTTTACATTGGTTATAGTTCATTAAATGGTTTGAAACAAATTTATAAATATCCCTATGAATGGTAAAATGATGAAAATTAAGTGTGCATGTAAATTCCCTATATATTATCTTCTGAAGCATCGTAATATGATAATTCATGCAAGTTCATGTTCATATTAAATTTTGTAATTATATGATAAATATATAAATTTTGCAAAAGTTTTGATGAAGGAGATATTAAAATACACTATAAGTAATGTTAGAAGGGCCATCTTTATTCTGTTATTTTTCTATTTTTGTTCTATCATCTATCTTTTATAGGCGTGAGATAATCAAGGGAAGTATAAGTGGAAGTGGAGTTATAAGAAAAATCAGACATGAGTTTACTTGATTTGCCTTGTGAAGGAAGATTGACTAAGGGAAGTATAAAAGAAAGCAGAGTTATAATCAGGTATCGGGACATACAAATCATTTTATATAAGTTGCATTCCAAGTTTATCAAGTGATATATGTTGATACTCATGTTCAAGTTAAGTTATGGTTTAAGAAATATTTCTAATGTTAACAAGTTCAAATAATGTTCAGATTATGCTTAAGTTCATGTTTCTGATATATATTCATTTTTATGTAATATCATCCTTCTAATACAGTTAAATATTTAAGTATAAGTAACTCAATTTTGATGCTTTACGAATAGGTAAAGTTATTCTTTGCCATCTTTGTAAATATTATCTAACAAATTTATGAAATTTTTTTAATTATATAAATACAAATGTGGATTTTGATTTCTGTGATAGGAACAAGGATAGTATGCCAAGCAATTAGTTGCTTATTATGTGAATTAATTTCATTTTGGGCAAGGGGAAATCAAAACTAGAGTAGATTAGAGGTTGAGGTCTTACTGGATAGAAGTTCAACTTAAAGCTATTCTATTTTTGCTAATCTATTCATTTGTATTTTGATTAGAAAATATATTTGATTATTGTATATGATTATTTTTTATGATTTTGGACGATATCTGAAATGGAATGAATTGTGAACTATGGTTGTATCTAGAGCCTTAGAACATGATTAGTAGATAAGTAAATACGAACTATGGTTGTATAAGAATATTTTCTTAATTGTCCTCTTATGTTATTTTTCATATATGTAGTAGGAAGAAACGTTGTTGATTATGGACCCCTAAGACTTGAAAGAACCTGATGGATAGAGTTCTAGCTGAGCTGCAACCGTATGAAGTACTATGAGGCAATGACTTTCGACTCCATAGTGCAGTTCACTAGCTTGGTGGCCCAAATTATGAGAGAATCCTATAGTTGGCTTACTGTGATATGAGGAGGAAAAATGGATAAGCACCTACAATTATTCTTGAGATTGAAGCCCCTTCATTTTTAGTGCGCTGTATAACCTCAAGCAGCTGAAGAATGGATGATGATGCTAGAGAAGTTGTTTGATAGTATGCAGTGTCTTGAGGGTTGGAATGTCCCAGTAGTTGTATTTATGTTAGATGAAGAATCCGAACACTGATAGTTATGCAAGTAGAGTGAGTAATTTTAAGGTAAACCAAATATTGAGATTTCATGGGAGGTGTTTATAAAGACATTTAGGAATTAGTTTGTTTCACAATCAGCTAAGAAACATATATAAGTCATTTTTGAGATTGGCTCAGGGGTGCAAGATTGTGATTCATATGAACTAGAGTTTACTATTATGATAATTTCCTCAATTAGTCAGTGCTCTAAAGGAGAAATGTTTCATGTTTTTGAAACGACTATTGGATAGTTTTAGGCACCTACTAGTTCTCTTTCATATCCAAGATTTTTCTAAACTAGTAGAGGGAACAAGGTTGCTGTAGCATGACTTGGTGTTCAATCACCAGAGTTGGGATGCCAACAAAAAGAGGATTGGAAGAGAGCCATCCAAGTGTGGTACTAGTGTGAAAAAGACCAGATTTGGAGGAGGTGATTTTAAGAGGGGGAGAAACTTGTGGTGTAAGTGAGTCCAGCCGGCTTATAAGCTGACCCGAGCCCGACTAATTATCAAGCTCATGAGTGGAGTTTATCAAGCCATGTGTTTGAGCTCGAGTATATACTTGAGCTCATATATTAAACAATATCGAGCTCAAGCTTAGACTGACTTAGCTCAAAAGCTTGTTGAGCCGCTTGATTAACTTAAACTATTTTTAAAAAATTAATTTAACTTACCATTATATAATATATTTTAAAATTTTTGAAATTCATTTCTATTAAAAAAAAATTTAAAAAAAATTGAAAATTTTAATTAAAATTAAGAATTCAAAATCAACAATCTAGTCGAGTATGAATGTTTCAAATGAGCACGAGCAATTAAGCCGGTCCCGAGCCTATAAATTTTTTAACGAGTCAAGCTCAAGCTTATAAATTTTTAATGAATCGAGCTCAAGCCTAAAAATGTTTTAACGAGTCAAGCTCAAGTTTAGTAAAGAGCTTAACTCGAGCCTGAGTTTAGTAAATGAGCTCGAATCAAGCTTGAGCTCGATAAGAACTAAACAAGCTTTGCTCGATCAGGCAAATACTTGACTCGACTTAACTCATTTACACCCCTAGGAGGACCTACAGTTTCTAGGAGTATATGTGGATATATATATTGATGAGTGATGCTCCTATTTATGGTTTTTGTTGGAAGAGACATACTGGAAGGTGTTATCTATATAGGGGATAGTGTTTTAGGCGTGATTAGTTAGACCATAAGGTAGCCCAGTGTTCGTAAAGGGCCCCAGTAGACATGCTTAAAATAGGAGGGAGCTAAAGGTAGTTGGTGCCTTATCGAGAGTTTCTTTTGATGGATTGCCAACCAGAAGTGGTGGTAGATTAAGTGGGAGGCCACCAGGAGGAATACAATAGAGTCTAATACAATAGGCCGTGTGTTTCTTTAGTATAATATAATGTTTACATTTTGACACAACAGGCAGCTAAGGATGCATCAGACATGGTGACAAGTATGATTTTTTTTTTTTGTTGTTCTATCAAATTTTGTTTGACATTGGAGCAATTCACTTATTCTTATATGAGTATATTCATAATAGTTTGGGTTTGCTCCGTTATGTGTTATCACCTAGTTTATATGTTGTGTTAGCTATGAGGAATTTTCTAATGGCTTTCAAGGGGTTGTTCAAATTGATTTCAATGCATGTTAATGACCTCATCTATTGAGATTTTACACATCATCATGGTGGATCAGGTCTGGGTATGAATGAATTATCTCACATTAACAATGAGAAAAAAGGACAAAGTTGGCTAAATAAAACTTCTTTTAACAACTTGGGATCCACCCATGGGATTTGATGATTTTCGTAAGAGAATTTTTAGGAGTACTCCTTAAGTGATTCACCTTCATTCAGATGAATTTTCTTGAGATGGGAAGACTCATTGTCAATCATTTGATTAATAATATATTGTTTGACAAAAAAGTCTCGCAAGCTTGGCAAACATGGGAATAGCCTCACCTGGACGAGAGTAGAAGTATGTTCGAGCTTGTCCTTAGATTGTAGCAATAAATACTTGACATAACAACACATCCAAGGCTCGCTCAATATGCATAATGTTTATTTAGTGATTGAAATGTTTGTAAGAGTTATATGACCCATCATAAGAATGTATGTTTGAAAGTTTGAAACCCATTGGAATGGGGTGTTTAAGGATGTGTTCAAGTAAGGGCGACAATTCTTAAAAATTAGGACTATGATGGAGTTTTCTCCTAGATCTTAAGGAAAGCTCCTCTTGGACTAGTCATTATATTCATCATGTAGGGAAATATGAGGGGTTTCAATAATGTGAAACTGGGCTAAGCACTTGAAAATGGTTGGAGGAACAAATGCTGGTAGACCCACATGAGAGAAACGAGTAGAGTTAGTCATGTTAATAAGGTTTGTGTCCTCCTATTGTGACATAAGAGGAACCTTTAACCGAAGGTGAGGGAGCTTTATGCAAGTGTTTTCAAGTTAAACACCCTAGCTAGTTAATCTTAAGGGAGACAGGTCCCCTATTGTTGTGTTGCCACTAGCTATTAAACCCCTTATAGAAGTTGATGGATTTTGTTATAAAAATTCCAACATTTTGTTAATGTTGTCTTCTAAGGATAGTTGTAATGTCCCTTCGCCAAAATGGTTTCTCCCA